CACCATTAATAACCAGTCGTTCCAGCAGTGGCGCACGTCAGAGTGGCAGTGAGGTCTTTTAGTGTCATACAGTCTTTCATTCGCAGCATCATGGTGCATGCTGGGCTACCTGAAGCCCTCTGGCCAGCTGTTGGGCCTGTCTTATGTGACGGCCCTCCTCACACGTGATACCCTTGGCACCTACTGCGATCGCGAACTGATTCTCCGGGGTGACCTCGGGGTTCCGACGCGAGTTGGAAAATACCATTGTTTCAAATAGTAGAGCCACTGCTAGATCAGGGCCACAAACGTGTAACCAGAAAGAACACGAAGCAGTCAGCTTGGAACACGGACTAGATCCATGTAACGCAAGCTTTCCCTACGATTACTGCGACCGAGATGCAAAGTATTGCGACAAGGGAATGGGACCATGGTCCATGCAACGGTTGCAGGATAGGACTGGTAAGGTACGCACTCTGGCTTTCAAGCCAGATCAAACGTGGTGGAAAGCTGTTCACTGGCCTGAGATCTTTGAGACATATATAAACCCCAAAGTGGAACATCATAACGTCGCTCCCGGGTAATGGACCACCCCCACAAGTGAACCACCCAATTCCAAATGCCATCACCGTCACCCATCATCTCCGTCCTCACTTTCTGAACCCTCCCCACAAACCATAATGCAATCTTCAGTTTCACTAGGTAAATAAGATCCGCCTAATTCACTGCCGTTCGTGGCTTTCTGGGCCGACCGCGTTTCAAGACGTAATGTTCGCGGCCCCCAACACCGTCCCAGTATTCCTGCAACAGCTTGGGCGCAACCCTCTTGAGCTTGGACTCGTGCTCCATTGACGTTTCGTCTGGCGTGGAATGGTGCCCAACCCACTGCACCTCTAACTGGACACCTCCTTGAGGGGCCTGGTCATGCCGTAGCAGCTTGAACACATAGTATGTTTCGTCCCGAGCATTACTAGGCTGCCTGAATAGAGCAATGATGCAATCGCTGCTTCTGGGCTGCTTTTATGATCTAGGAACCGTATCATGGCCAAACATGGAGTGAACCAGTCTCAGTGTCTAACAGCAGAAGGTCACGTACATATATAACCATTCAGTCTTGCCATAGTCAAAGGAAAAGTAGCCAGTCCAGCTGTTTCGTACAGAGGGCCGTGCAGGCTTCACTCCCATTGATAACCAATCATTATAGGGAGCATCGGCGATATGTGGCTACCCTCTAGTTGAGATTGCTTTGTCCATCCCTGTGCACTCGCAAGAAGAGAGACAGAACCGGAGGAGCTGTGTCAACAGCCCATCCTGGCTTGTGATCTGTCTATGAGTCAACTTGATGGGGTAGTAGCGTGGTATCTCGAGGATTCTCGTACTTGCGGGGACCGTGACTTGTATGATCCTCAACAAATGGAGGTTTGGCATCCCATCCATGGAGGTTGTGTTGTGATGCAACAATGCTTGTTGATAGTCCTACGAAACTCTGAGCCGACGTTTTTTACAACAGAGGTTGCCTTGCCATAGTCCACAAGCAATACCGGGAGATCAACTTTGTGGTGGGCAGTTTTTGCATCGTACCATCCGACCCCCCGAACCGGCACACCCCCCCAACCGGCACAGCCAAACCCCACAATCACCACCAAAAGTCCCCTTACTCACTTACACGGATTACAGCCCCTTTTGAGGGTATCTAGACTTTCTTTAGATGGTTAGATAGCCCTTTTCTTGGTGTTTAGCGGAATATAGATTATTTAATTGTTGGGCCATCGGTATCGGCATTTAGCAGCCTCCGTGCCCCGCCCTTAAATACAGATTTGCTGTAGAATTCTCTCTGTGAGCCCCTGTCCCTCATGCACCACAGCATCCTGAAGCCAGCTACGATGCCTCCGCCCACGTATACAGAGGATGATGTGGTGGATGCCTACCTAGACGTCACAGATAATGGCATATCCGTGAGAAAATCCAGCCAAAAATACGGCGTCCCGGCCAGCACGCTGTCAACACGCATAAGGGGGAGAGGGACTAAAACAGAAGCTCACACCACCGAACAGAGAATTTCTCCCGAGCAAGAAAGCAAGGTAATAGCCTGGATATTACGCCAGGAGACTTTGGGGCTTGCCCCCTCTCACTCAAGCCGTCAGGGAAATTGTGGTAACCTCCTAAAAAGAAAGGGGATTTTGCACCACTTGGGAACCACTATATGGACAGCTTTAAACGACATAACCCTACCATTCAGACTAAAATCGGCAAACGAATGGAATCTGCTCGGTTTAAGGGGTTTACTCCTAAGTCTGTGAACTGGTTCTTTAATATCTTGGAAGACTATGACTGGGTGAAGCCAGAAAATACGTATAATGTCGATAAGGGCGGCATCATGTCGGGTTTTGGTAACTCTTTCGAGCCCCTTACCCTCACAGTCAATTAACTACCCTTATAGGCATTGATTCCCTAGTTCTGGGAAGTTCTGAGACGAGGAAAGCTTTCCTAAAGAGCCCCCAGGGCCGCTCGTGGACATCTTTCATCAAGACCATTTCAGCTACCGGTAAAGTACTCAAACCAGGCTTGATTTTCAAGGGAAAAGATCTCCAAGTGCAGTGGTTCCTCGAGGAATTCCAGAAGATAGCCGACTGGTACTATATAACGTCGGAAAATGGCTGGACCAGTAACGATATCGCCTGTCAGTGGCTTGAGCACGTTTTCATACCACAAGTGGATGAAATTCGTGGCCAGGAGCAGTGGGAACCAGTCCTTTTGATCCTAGATGGCCATGGTAACCATACCTCCGTACGTACACCAATTTTTATTTATTTATTTATTGGTTGTTTGATTTATTCCGATTTAAACAATAACTGACTGTAGAACAGGACGAATTTATGATGTGGTGTTATTTTGTTAACATCTTGTTGTGCTTTTTCCCAGCACATACCAGCCACAGAATGCAACCACTGGATAACGGCCCTTATAACGCCTTAAGTCCTACTACCAGAGATTCCTCACCCAGGTAAATTCTCTGACTGATTCTTTCCCTGTTGACAAGATCAACTTTATCCGCTATTATAGCAAGGCAAGGGACATGGCATTTACGCCAAAAAATATCCGCTCGGGCTTCTGAGTGACAGGATGCTACCCAATTAGCCGCAAAAAATGTCTAGACTATCCAGAAATCCAAGAAAATAAGCGGAAGACCCCCAAGCCGGAAGAACAGGAAGACTCAGAGCTGGAGGACCAACAGACCCCTACCACGAGCCGGCAAATCCGGGATTTCGGGAGGAACCGTTCTCCAGCCACTCGGCTGAAGTTCCGGAAGATCTCCCATGCCTTTGAGAACCAGGAGACGGAGCTGGCCATAAAAGACCAGAAGTTCAGGGCCCTGGAGGCTGAACTGGAGCGGTTACAGCCCAAGAAGAGGAAAAAGATACCAAATCCCAACAAAAAGTTCATAATAATGATAGAAATATTAGCCCAGGGTGGTGATCCATTAGTTCCGGTTGCTGTAGAGTCTTCTTTTTCTTCTTCAAAGTCAGAGGTTGTTGAAGACGAGGGTGAAAAGGACGAGGAGCTTGCGGACGCTGAGGAGGCTGTAGAAGCCCCTGTTGCAGAAGCCCAGATGACTAGATCCGGGCGGTCAATCCGGGCGCCGGCTAGATACGTCGATCGAGCAGCCAAAACACCACAGAATGATAATTTTGCTGACTTTTTTGACCCTATACAGCCTCAAATGTGTGTAAGTGAGTAGGGGGGTCTTTTGGTGGTGGTGGCGGGGTTTGGCTGTGCCGGTAGTGGGGGTGTGCCGGTTCGGCGGGTCGGATGGTAGTCGTTATAGAAAACCTCGAAGACCAAGATGTCTAGCGGTGGCCACCTTTGTATCGCGATGAGTCGGCTTTCCTTCTCGGGTACTTGTAGGAAGGAACAGGTTTCGAGACCAACTTGTTGGTGTGTAATATAGAGTATAACATGGCCCAGTCATAATCAACCATTCCTGGTCGCCTCTTGACTTGGATTCGGCCGGGGACATAGGGGGTTACGTCAAGAGCCCATTGCTTATGATTCCTGATTGTGTCGAGCTCCTCGTCTGCGCCCCTCTCACCATGACCTTGACCTTGACCTGGACCTTGACTGTGTACCTTCGTCTAGCCTGGTCGTGTCGGCCGCCGAGGCAGTGCTGGTGACTTGTTTCGACACTAGCTTGTGGATATTGTTGGGCAGCACAGAAGAACCTCAGTTGTGGAGAAGCAGCGGCATGTGTGACAGCTGGAAGATGCATGCGTCTCCATCGTGTTCCTACTTGGACTTCTGGATTCATAGACGCTCATGACCAGTCATTCTCAGCCGCCTCCAGCCATAAGTTGGCAGTCTCTGCGGGTTTTCTGAATGTCCATGAGTCATCCTGAAAGCGCCTTCGCAGATTTCCAAAACGGCCATCGATGCCTCGTCCGATGGTACGTCATCGATGCTCTCGAGAGGCTATGAAGGATAGGTCAGGGGGCAGTGACGTGGCGTAATACACATACATGGGAAACGCCCTGTATTATTGATGGCCAATCATTCTTAGTCATCATTCGAGTTGCCTTACGGTTCGCCCGCAGGAACCAGAGCATATAAGAGAAGGCAATGGCCCCTAAGAATGATTTTGTTAACAATGATAGCTTATTGGCACAAAGCCTACCCTGGCCTGTGGTCTGTTTGAGAGTCATCCGGATCGTCAGATTCTATGTTGCCAAAATGTGAAAACCAAGGGCATAAAGGCTTGGCCATGCCACAATGAGGCTTGTATATCTCCTGAAAATGATTCTTCAGGCTGACACAGCTACAAATATTCTATATCATCCCGACTACCTTTTCAGAAAGCCTGCTAACGAGGGATGACAGCCTCATTACCATCCTCAGAGGACCATCATCGTCGACGCTGACGCGCTTGACTCACCGGAAACGGTGACCTTCTGATACGTGGAAGAGGCTGCGGCGAGAGCGAACGGCGGAGACCTCTGTGGGGATATTTCCCACCTGGTCTCCTGTCTATGTCGGCATACCCAAAGCCGCAACCGCCCCAGATGCATGGTGAGTATTTCTTCCTTGTTGATATTCTTCTTAACGCCACTATTTTGAAATCGAAATTATGATCAGATTGGGTGGTATTGGTCGCCACTTGGTCGAATTGCAACTAATTACCCCGCGATCTCCAGCATTTGACTCATCGAGGTCTCAGTATCAATATTCAGCAGAGCAGGATAATGCGGCAGAGAGTCCGTATAAGGATATCACGCATAAGGAGTCAAAAAAACCTGAGCAAAGACCGAGCCCACCCAGACCGGAGCCCGACCAGCTCATCAACGCTGCTACCATTAGCTACGGCTACCCTCCGGCGGCCCATCAGGCTGTCACTTCAAGTTATGAAGTAGGTTACAGCAGAGACAACAGCATGATCGGCCCCTACCACCGCTCGTTGTACGCGGCCGACTACCCGCGACCACCACTGCTTGAAGCTCCGACATGGAGCCCCTACGGATCGTCCATGACGCCTCATAGTCCCAGTGCCATTCATCACGCGATAATAACGCGCCCGAGCATCACGACTCTGCCCATGCCGACGTCGAGCGTACCGCAGCTGATCTGGACCAGCACGATACAGACGTCCGGATCCTCCAGTCCCGCGCAGATGAACCCGTACGCCATGCACTCGGCCAAGGCAAACCTCAAGATCGACGGCGATCTAGAGGCGATGGCAAGCAACTGGACACAGGAGGAGTGGGATAACCGAAGGCGCATAGTCATGTTCAACAGGAAGCAGCAGAGCTCAACGCTCCAACAAGCTTCAAGCCCGTCACCGTCAGTGAGAGGCCACTGAACAGCATCTGCATCAGCTGCATATACTGGGCGGAGAAGAACGAATGTTATGTGACCAGTGTCGACACCATCTCGCTGTTAGAGCAGCTCGTGGCGTCTCCCGCGAGGTTCACGGTGGAAGAGAAGAACCGGATACAGCGCAACCTGGAGGAATTCCGGCCCCTGACGGTGAGCAAGGCTAAGGCGGACAGCGAAGAGGTCTTCAAGATCATCATGGCATTTCTGAATCCAAAGCCGCGCAATATCGCGAAGGACGTCAAGGTGTTTCCTTGGAAAATACTGGCTAGGGAGCTCAAGAAGATTGTATCGAGATATGTGAGTAAAGTCCCCGTCCTGGCCATCTTTTCTTTCTCTTTCTCGCACCTTGCGATCGAGTGATTTTTTAATCTTGCAGCCCATGTCCCAGGTTGGAAATAGTATCAAAACATGTGATGTAATGAGACTGATAGACAATACTCTAATCCGCATCGCCTTCTTCGCAGCTCCCTTCAGGCCCGGGACCGACCATGCTCACACCTCTCAGCAGAACGAGCCCAGGACTCTACGCAATGCCCCATACCCCAACAGTATCCGACGGCGGCGGGTACTCCCACAATGACTCGCATACGACGGCATCGCCGCGCTCGCTCTCAGGCGCTCCCCCCAGCTGGGCGGCCTACGCCGGATGTATCCTCTCCCCGAGTCCCAAGACCCATTCACCGCAGGCAGGGATCAGGACTCCTGGCATACCTTCCTACGGGCAGGCAGACGCGAGACAGCACTCGAAACATCACTACGGCCTCGCACCGCATAGCCAGCGGTGGGACTCGGCAGTCGCGAATGGGTACGGCGATGCTTCTGCGTCGCCTGCGTACACGAGCCACCACCATCAACACCAGAGTCATGTTTGTAGGTTAATGCCGTGAAACGCGGCTATCACCGCCTGTTCCTGAAACGGGGCCAATGATCCAATCCAGATCTGGATGATGGATCACAGGTGGGCTCCAGCTTCATGAATCAGAGCTAAAGGTGCCGGACAACAGCTTGATGAAGGTCCGTGTCGCATCATCAACAAAACAGTCCGTCACCCTCTGTTTCCGATTCTTCGACAATCGCATTCTACAGATTCACCTCTAACAAAGTGCACACAACAATCCTATCATCCGTATTCGTTCTGCTTTGTCTCTAGTTACGCCACGGAATATCTAGCATCTTCGCTCGTCGCATGGCGTGCCGTTCTGCGACACCGTTACGCTGATCCCAAAGCTACCCTTGCAAACATTCCTCCGCACTCCTCCTCACAGCGGCAGTGAGTCGTGTTGATCACTCGGGAGGGGCATTCCATTCTTCGGTCTCAGTCTCGACCAATACACACATTCCCTTTCTCCGCGCGCTCTCTCTTTCTGCCAATATCACATCACTTCTCCTCTATACACGTGAACACTACTTCGGTCTGCTGCGATCTCGGCGTTTCCCACGCCATCATGTCGATTCGTCACTGAAGACGTCCACCCGGATCGTTGCTTCCCCTTTGCGATCGTATCGGCAACTTTACACCATCCATCTACAAGCGCTGCCTTCGTTCACAGCATTAGGGTTCTACCTACCAGATACCATCAAACGCAATCGCAATCGCAGCGTCCCTGACTACGACTACGGCTATTAGCTGTCCACCTCAGCTATTGACGCTTGAGCAATTTCCTTACCGCCACAACGCCAAGTACAGCACTTCTTTACTCAATACAAGCACAGAGGAACCGAATATCGACCACTTCGCCCCTCATTTTCGCTTCTGTTCTAATACTCTAATATCTAATAACCACACGCCACTTGTCGGGTGTAAATAACCTCATCACCACGCTCCATCATGGCCGAGACAACAACGCAGTGCGTTACCCACGCGAAGGGCACGAGGATACCGGGCCGCGGTGCGACCATCAACATCCCCTGCTTGAGCGGACCGGCTAGTCGTCTGCGGAACGCCATAGGCCTGCCGGCATCCAGTCCAGTAACCCAGAACGGAAGCTTCGAGTTTGATCGCGTGGTCAAGTCGGGTTACGTCCACAAAAGTACTCGGAAAACAAAGGTAGGTGGACAACTGGGTCTCGATATCAGCGTCTTGGATACTGACTTGCTATTCTCGACAGGCCTGGAAACACGTATTCCTCGTTCTCTGGCCGAATTCGCTCTTCATCTACAAATCCGACAGCGAAAGCAAACTGCGCCATAAGCCTCACACGAAAGCGGCTTATCCTGATGCTCCTCAGCCCATTTTAGTCGCTTGTCTGCGTGTTCCTGGGTCAAATACGGACGTGTTGCGGCTTCGTGATGCCCGATGCCCTCCCGGAGCAGATGGCGACCGATAATACGCGTTGACTCCTTCAGATTAAACGCTCGCTTCAAACTAAGTAGAGAAATGAACGGATTACCGTCAACTACCCTTAGTATGGCCCTCTTTTCGATTCTAGTTAGGGATTGTGGTCGACCACGGCCTTTGGGAGAGACGCCCCAGTCCTGAGAGGTGAAGCGCTTTTTGATCCCGCGACAGGTGCTTGCTGACACTCCCTCAGCAAGCTCCACCTTCTTGCTCGATTCGCCTGCGGATAGCCTTCCCCAAATGCGATTGCGCTGACGAGGTGTTGTATGAATTCCTGATTTTTTCGGAGTTTTTTTTGTGTACACGAGGCATCGTAGAAGTTGTGGTGTTAGTCGTGGCAGAAAGGAGGAAACGCGAAAAATCGCGGGGTTGGGGCGGGGTGTTTGGTTTTTTTGTCACCCCACTGTACCTACCTACCTAACCTTCCGAGTCTCCATTTTGAGGCCTATCAGGGTCCGGCTTGGTAGAGCTTACCGCTGTAAAGCTCAGACCGTCTGACGGCTCGAAAATAAGTATGAAGATGCCATATAATTTCAGATCTTGGTGGTCTTTACATCTGGGTACTTTGATCTGCTCAATTTGATGGTGACTGATTGGGCTCAATTGGGCGGGCAGCTTCCCAGCGTGAATAGCCATCTACAGTGCACTTCAGGGCATTCGTCGGGCGTGAGCCGTAGCAGGTCAGCCGATTAGCTGCGCTTTCTAGGCCGCTTCCGATGCGAGCCTGAGCCGTGGCCACGATGGCTGACCTGTCTGCCTGTGACTGCCCGCACCGCGAATGCCTCCGAAGTTGTTGTTGTTGTAGGAGGAGGGAGGTTCGGATGTGGGCCCAGCTGGACTGTAGAACCACTCATCACGGTCGGGTTTCATGTGGAGATGCCATTCAACTTCAGATTATCGTGTCTCCCACAGTGGGCCTTTGGTCGCGTTCAATTAGATGACTGTTGGGTGTGTTCAATCAGGCCTCTTCCCAGGCTAGCTGGCCACCACGATCTTGTTTTGTATGTCGATGGCATGTTAATACATATCAAGACGATATCCGTCGCAGCTGGACCTGTTGGTGAGCTTGGTGGTTAGGTAGCCCGCTGACAGATGGCTGTCAGGTGGGGCACCCTACTGTGTAATAAGGTGCAAGACGGGATCAAGACTATATAAAAAGTCACCGAGTCGCTATCTCGCGTCTGATCAGTCAGCCATCACAATCAATAAACTACTCCACGTACACAGCCATCTTGGCGCTGTTTCGCACGACGAGAACGCGTGCCGATCCAGTGGCTGTGGTGGTCATCACATTTACCTATGGTTGCATTAAAAACCAACAGTTGCACTGCTGCCGATATGCAATATACAGAAGCACACCACCTTGCCTGCAACCAGGCGCATGACATTAGGTACGCACCGGGTACATACATGTAATCGGGGTTAGCTGTTGCGTGTCGTCGAGCGGCAATGCCTCTGGCATATAAAGCACTGGGCCACCAATGCTGTGTTGCAGGCCTGCCGACTCCGACTCCTCATTCCTTCTGAAGTCATCCGCAAGCATGGCTCCAAACGCCCCCATTGAGGCTTTGGTTACCGTCAAGCAAACCCCTGAGTTGGGTCCAGACACTTATGTGAACGTGAAGTATGTCAATCACCAAACCTTCCTCCCTACATGTGCGCCCCCTCTCCCCATTCCCCCTTCCCTATCACACAGCTGATTTGCGACACTCGTTTCTCACATGCATCTTATGAATAGTCCGATGACTTCCCAGCAAGGAGTGCGGTCGGTTTTTGGCGGTGCCGTTGTCGGTCTGTCTGTGGCTGCTGCCTTCATGACACTGCCGCCGGAATTCAGCGTACATTCGCTACAGTCCACGTTCATACGTGCCGTGAAACCCATGGAGGTCGTTCATTTTCACGTCGAACGCACGAGCGATGGGCGCTCGTTTGCTTCGCGAGTGGTACACGCGACCCAAGGTGCTGGTGACGCGTGTGTACACATCTCTACAGTCTGCTTCCAGAGAAACGATTTACCGGTCGGAAACGTGTTGGATTACGCAGTCGCGATGCCCGATGTGAACAGCTGCCTCCCGGACGACATTCCCAGGGAGAAGTTGCAGGAAGCAATGACGGCCTCCATCACCCGCGATGTCCCCCTACTGCAGTTGAGAGCAGATGAAGAGCCATTTGATTGGCGACCCTTCGACAACACATTCACAGACCAACCAACCCATTATCGCCAACGCTCTTTCGTTCGCTCGCCGACCCCATTGCCAGATAACATGGCCTTGCACCAGAATGCGCTGGCTTATCTATCAGACACCTACATGCTAGGGGCCGCCTTGAATGCCAGTCCCTCAATGGTAGGTCGCAAATTACAGAACGTTGCCATGGCTACAAGCCTCAACCACACTCTCTGGCTTCACGAACCGACGGCCAAGGTGGATGAGTGGATGCTAGGCGAGCGCGTGACATCTTGGGGCTCAAACGGAAGAGTCCTTATCCATCAGCGGTTTTGGAACGTGCGGAGCGGCCGGCTCGTCATGTCTGGAACTCAGGAGGGTCTCATTCGGCTGAAAAATGCCAAGCTCTAATTCAGATGTGGTCTGGGCAATTTCGGCCAACTCTCCTCTTGTACGTAATGGAAGTGCGCATTCTGTTCTTAGTATCACGAAGCATGTCCCATACTCGCCTACTCCTTACTTGTCACGTCCCCTGCAAGTTCACTCCTGTCTGCCACCAGGGCTCCGACTGCCTCAATCGTCACCCCTCCCATGATTTCAAACACCGCCACTTCAGCTCGAAAATCAATGCCAATCCAGTTGCGTAGCTCAACAGCCACCAGAGAGTCGACGCCGCAGTCAGATAGACGCTTGCTAGAATCAACGTCCTCGGGACTGACTGATAGCGCACGTGCAAGCTTGGCTGTCAATGCTGCTACGACAATCCTCCCTTGTTCTTTAGGGTCTGTTGCCTGCCGGAATAAAGCACCTAGATCGACTGATGCTTCATTTCCAGAGCCTTGTGCAGAACCATTGGTAGCCCGGGAAAATCCTGCGAACAGAGGTCGCTGGGCCAAGGGAGTGACAGGTTGCCCTTGAGCCAGAAGGTCTCTCGGTGTCACTACACCAATCAGCAGCTGGCTCTTTTCTGGCGCAAGCCAGGGAAGGCTTGGATCGCAATAGATGTTGAGCAGTGCCATGAGTTCCTCGGCTTCGATTTGGCCCATATCTGCAGTATTCTTTCTGTGGCGTTGATACTGCTCTGTTTCAGCTATGATGCCAATGGTACGCATCCACCCAACATCGAGCGATATCGCTTTCTGGCCCCGTCGAGTGCGGTAGGAGGCAACAGCGTCTTGGAAGGCACATCCAGCAGCATAATTGGACTGTGCTGGACTTCCATAGACCCCGGCAAGGGAGGAAAGCAGCACAAAAAAGTCGAGAGACGGGGGAAGCAACTCATGAAGATTCCAGGTGGTGTGAGCCTTCGACCGAAGTGTAAGGTCCCATTGTGCATAGGTCATATTCTCGAAGACGGCGTCCTGCAGGATGAGACATGTTAGCTTCATATTCCAGGTCGCATGGCAGGTTAGGTAGGTAACCTACTTGAAGCACCATAGCAGCATTGATGCAGCCTCGAATGGGCGGTAGTCGTTGACTGCATTCTTCGAGGGTTGATTTCAACGAGGCAGCCGATGCCACATCACAAGCGGGAGTGGCGACGACTACGCCGCGTTTCTCAAGTGCAGACACGACCCGGGACGCAGCGGCAGACCCCACCCCCCCGGACCTTGATGGTACAATGAGATACCGTGCACCCTTATCAGCCAACCACTCCAGAATGGCGCGACCAATGCCTCCAAGACCGCCCGCAACGACGTAGGACGAGTTGCTGTCGCATTTCCAGTCACAGCGGTCGAGAAGACGTTTCTGTAGGGATGAGATGTTAGCGACAACTCCTGTAGACATTGTTCAGGAACCTCCAGTGAACGTACCTGTACCACGGCAGAATCGGTAGCTTCGATAACAATGCGTCCGGTGTTTGTACCACTCTGCATGAAACGGAACGCTTGTTCCACATCTGAGAGTGGGAAGAGGTGCAATGGTTCAGGGTGTTGGACGTGTCCCTGGATGGCTAGGTCTGTGACTTCCCGCATGAGCCGGCATGCCAATGCCGTATCAGAAAGTCCAAGATGGTGTAAATCAACGGCAGAAAACGTCACGTTCCTGGCGAAGTTTGACATAGGGAGTGATGACTCTCCTACAATGTCGGCCTTTCCAAGCTCAATGAATCGGCCAAATGGAGCCACGCACTCCCAGGACGCTCGTAGACCGTCACCGGATAGGGAATTCAAAACCACATCGACACCATATCCGTTCGTAACACGCATCACCCCTCGAGCAAAAGATACATCGCGGCTGTAAAAGACGTGGTCCGGTGCGAGTCCGAATTGGTCCACCAAGAGCTGTTTTTTGGCATCGAAACCCACGGTGGCAAAGATCTCTGCTCCTATCATCTTTGCAGCCCAGATAGCCATTTGCCCAGTGCTACCGGCAGCGGAATGAATAAGGATCTTTTCCCCTTTCTGGAGTCTTGCAACGTTGACCAGGGAATGGTAAGCTGTGATGCCTGGGCTGATCATTGAAGCGGCAGCTGCAAACGAAAGGCTATCAGGGATCGCGATGGCTGCTTGTGACGATGTCCGAGGGTATGTCCGAATGCATCCTGCGCCGTTCATGACCACACGGTCTCCGGGTCGAAAATCAGCATCTGATCCAACTCTGGTCACAACCCCAGCGCAGTCGTAGCCAAACTCCTGACCATCTAGTCGACCAAGAGCCACGAAGACGTCTCTGGAGCTAAGGCCCCATGCCTTGGCCTCGATTTCAATCTCATGGGGTCCAATCGCAGTTTGATGTGTGTCATCTTCTACGAACTCCAAGCTGTCGAGCATTCCACGGGCGTGGATTGATAGCTTCAAAGGGGGTCCAGGTTTCCAGGGGCCGGACCGAAGCTGCGGAGAAATGAGCCCGTCCACCTGTTCATTGAGATGTTTTGCTTCGTATAGCCGTCCTGTATGCATTACATCACCCCGCAATACATATTCCAGCTCTGGTGCGCCTGGATCTGACTCGAACGAAAGCCGTAAGATGTTGGCGATGTGTCCAGCAAAAGCCGAAACATCTTGTTCGTCCGATTCATTGACAAGGTGAACAAAGTGGCGATCCAGCGCTTCCGATCGTATACTTCGTATAAACCCAGTCGTAAGATTGTACTGTGCACGATCTGGAAGGTCTCCATCATCCTTCTGAGGGATGGCCGTGACCCAGAGCAGGTTTCGCACGCAAGCCATCATTTCCTTCATGGCTCCATACTTTTCTTCCGAGAGGGTGGCCAAGAATGGCGCCCCAACCTCCAGAAGCGATATGGTCACGTCCGACGCAGCGACCGTGTTGCTTCTGATGCTGCCCAAGGTCAAGACCTCAATCTCCTGGAATCTTGCTGACCTGGAAGCCTCGATGCGGACGTTCTCAGCCAAAGCACACTGGTACTCCGATTGGTCGTCAATGACCAAGAAAAGGGCGGATCCTTGTGCCACGACTTCCTCGTGCTCTGTGTTTTCTGGTGATATTGCCCTTGAGACCACGATGCCAGAAAGATGACACACATCACTCTCGTAATCCCGCAGTACAAGCTCGTTTCCAGAGAAGCCTGCTCCTTTGAGCACCTGGTCCCATTTCCCTTCTGTGATTGTTGGACCATCCGAACGCCATGCTTCAACGCTGAGCCACCATCCGGGCAGCACGCCGAACCCCAAATTCGCAGCAATCGAATATGGGGCGAGCACTTCCAGGAAAACGAGGGAACCTCCAGGCTTGAGAACAGTGCGAAGATTCCCGAGAGTCGCGTTCAAATCTCTTGTGGCATGAAGAACGCTACCCGCAATTATCATGTCGTAACTCCCAGGCTGGAATCCTTCCTTGGACGCTTCGTTCTCTATATCAAACGTCTTGAGCTGGAATCGGCCTGGGAAAGTGTTGTCGTACTTGTCTCGGGCATTCTCAAAGAAGGCCGGGGAGATATCCGTGTATGTGTAGTCAGCGAATTTATCACCGCCACTGAGTTCCTCTAACTCTTGGAAGGCCGAAAGAACGTGCTTGGTCATCCCACCCGTTCCAGCCCCGACTTCGAGAATTCTCAGGTTTGGGTTCTCGTGCGATGCCAGGCGCAGGAAGTTCCGCAATCTGAAGTCACAATTTCTCTCGAAGATCTCACTGTAGAATGTTTCAGCCAGACCCGTGCTCAACAACAGCTGCAGTGGATCGATCTCGCCGGCAATGATCGACAAGATATTAGAGCCGACAGCATCATATATTTTCCACTTTGGCCTTTCCGTCGCAAGCTGATGAAGAGTCTCCCGAGCCTGTTCGATGGATGTATTGTCAATCGACGGAGGAGTCTCCTGTCCCTGAGCAATATGGCGTTCCATCCATGCGATAAGCTGTGACATATGCTCTGGGGCTCGCTGTAGGTGCGTCTGCGAAATCTGCTGCAAGGTTCCTCGAACAAGAATGTCAAGCGTTTCTTCAAGTCTGGAGTAGAACTGAGCCATGCCTGTGCTGTCTGCGGGAATGTTGTCTGCATCGCACAACTGGCTCAACTGTTTGGAATCCAGCAGACTAAGCTGAGGCCTCCAATCGATGCCGTAGAGTAACCTCGTCCGATTGTGTTTGCTGGAAGCAAGTTGAGCGACAGGAACCAGGTAGACACTGCCAATGACGCAGAGAGGAGTCGATCTATCGTCTGGGAGAAGACAGGTAGTGATTGTCGTTCCTGATCCCGCTGAAGCGGCATTTGCGGTTGTCGTTATCCTCACGGCCGATGTGCTCGTCCATGCCTCTGCTGACACCCACATGTCGTGCAACTTGCGAGGGACCGAAGTGGACCATGGTTCCGCGATACCTTTTGATGCTGGAACGAGCGTCAAGTGGATGGCTGCATCAAGAACCGCTGGATGAACCAGAGAGCCTATGTTACCCGCCTTCTGTAAGTCAACGCGGGCAACGACAGTTCCTCTTCCGTTCGAGCGGATATCTTGCAGTAGTTGGAACGATTTGCCGTAGTTGATCCCCGACTGTTTGAAAACGTCGTAAAGCGCCTTCGGGTCGAAAGGGCTCCTGCACTCTTCTATCGCCTGTGAATATCGCTGAAGTGTAGTGTATTCGCTCAGTCTTCTCTCCGCACCGGCATCCACTTCGGTTTGGCCATCCGCGTATTGGATCTGGACGGTAGCCTGGAAACATTTGCTCCAACGGCCGCTGTTGTAGGCGAAAATGGTGATACGAGACCATACTGATTCCTTCTCGTACGATTGCTGCAGAGGGATCAGGTGGAGAACCGTCTCTGTTGCCAAGTCCTCTTGTACACTGATCGCACTCATGAACTCGGCACCTTTGACGTAGAAGCCAGCGACAGGGCGATCCGCGGACGCCATCTGCGCCATGGCCTCAATAGCCATGGCCAACATAGCAGTGCCAGGCACAAGGACCATGTTGTTGATCTCAATTCGGGACAAATTAGTTTCCATCGATTTTTTGGAAGGCAAATCTCACAATATGGTCTCCGACCCATGGCATTGTCTCCACACTCCAGAAGTTTCGCCATCGCGGAGCAAGGGGGTTCCAATCGTGCGATCTCACTCCAAGTACCTCATTCGGAACAGCTTGCCGCAGTCTGTTGTCGCGACTCAGGCGTGATTCTTTCCAATACTTACGCGAAGTATCGAAGGGGTATCGAGGGCAATCGGTAAGGAATGAGGTTGTGGCTGCGCCTTGAGCAGCTTGCTGGTTCCCCGTAGACACCGAAACTCCGTAACCATTGCAGAACAGATTTCCAAGGAGTTCCAGGAAACTCTGGCACGAAGGCATTGTTCTGTCGAGGACAGAACAATATCGGACGTGCTTGTTGTGACTCAGTCTCAGCGTGTCTTTCAACGGCTGTCGTAAGGCACAGTGTGGCCCGATTTCAAACACGTCCGTGATTCTCTCTTCGCCCACCACACCCATAATTGACCCTTCCTGAATCATGGTGCAAACAGCTTCCGAGAACTTCACGGGCATGATGAGGTTGTCTACCCAATACTGGCCAGTGGACAAATCTGTCGTAGCAACAGCACGGCCAGTCACAGAAGAGATCATGGTGATAGCCATATTCGGTTTCTGTGGTTCGAGTACCCCCAAGAGCTCCAAGTACTGTGCTGCTACCGTTCTCATGATTGGAGCGTGGTACGTAACGCCTGTTTTGAGTTTCTGATTGGGAATAGCAGCAGCATCAAGATGCTCTTTCAGCGCCTCGAGTGAAAATGCGTCCCCGGAAACTGTGCAGTTCAGCGGGCTGTTTACACAGGCAATATGGGCGGACCCTTTTTGGATGGACGCGGTGGACCCGAGGATGTGTTGAATCCGAGACTCGGGTGCGTTGATGGACATCATAGCTCCTGGCGAAGAGGTGCCACATGTAGCCTTCAGCTGTGCAGCAACTTGGCCTCGATAATATGCCACTTTACAGGCCGACTCTTGCGTCAAAGCTCCTATTGTGTACCTTCGGATAGTTAGCATGTATGTCAACCCACATCACCTGAAGTTAGCAATATATTGTGACTCACGCAGCGGCTATCTCCCCTGACGAATGCCCTACGACAGCAGATGGAGTCACCCCAGAGGACCTCAGAAGACGCACAAGCGCAATCTGGAGAGCTGTGCTCAGTGGCTGGCTGTACTCCGGTTGGTTGATGGTTTCCTCGTTTTGGAGCGCATTTGGTACCGAGCATTAGAAGAGAACCAGACTGCGCGAAGTTTGACTTACCCATAATCGACCACTTGCGACCTAGGGATTCATATTTTTTGCCTGCCTCGAGCAACGCCTCCTTGAATTCGTGGTATTGGAGCAAACCAAGACCCATCTTGACGTGCTGTGCTCCTTGGCCTGTGAAAACAAATGACAACGCTTTCTCGGAGGAAAACCTGGTGGCCTTCGTGGTCGGCAACGTCGCGCTCTCGCCCAAATGAAACGCTGGACCAATCACCGCACATGTCCGCCAGGACATGTGACTTCTCCGAGACGCCAGTGTCAAGGCTAGTCTGTCAAGGGTCGATTGACTGTTGAAAACTCGGGACTGGTAATAAGAGCTGTAGTCTCGAATCATACGTTTGAGTGCGCCTTCGTCGGCGGCGCTCCAGACAAGCAAGCGAGAACGGGTCAACGTGGGCGAGTCTCCGTTGGTCTCATACGACTTTCCTTCTTGAACCTCGTTGCCGCTGTCAGAGCCCATGGAGATGGTACAGTTGTGGTTGCCCACCAGACCCTCGCCTTGGAGATAATGGAAAGCATCATCGAGTATCAGATGCGAATTGGTGCCTCCGAACCCGAAAGAATTGACCGACGCTCGTCGAATCCCGACGTTTGGCCAAGCTGTTGGTGTCGTTGGAATCTTCTCGGCGTTAGTTGAGTGGACGAAAAGTTACCACATGCTACGTAGTAGTGCACGAACCTCTGTATGGTAGAAGTCCACATCAAGCGCCGGATTGATTTTCTCGAATAACGCATTCAGAGGGATAATGCCCTTTTCAAGTGCCATGATGGTCTTCAGAACACCAGCTAAACCGCTAGTACCCTCCAAATGGCCAATGCTGGACTTGATTGACCCCCTTGAGAGACGACTTAGTTGACTTTCTTTGAGTCTAGTTAATACATAAGCCACTTACACGTAAAGCGGCTGGTCTGCTGTCCGGGACGTCCTAAAGACGCGTCCTATAGCTTTCATCTCGATAGGGTCACCAATGGGAGTCCCCGTACCTGTTGAAGAAGGGGTCAATTGCTACTCTGAAACATGCTCTCTTGAGAATAGGTTGTACGTACCATGGGCTTCGACGTAGCGGGTAGCCTTATAGTCTAGTCCAGCTTGCTTGTACACAAGACGAATCATGCGTTCTTGGGATTCGGAACTAGGTTGGGTTAGACCCGGCGTACGGCCGTCCTGATTCGTAACGCTGGAGCGAATGATCCCGCGTATCATGTCACCATCTTGGATTGCAAGAGGAAGAGCTTTGATGACTAGTCCCACCACGCCTTCGCCTCTAGCGTAGCCATTTGCCCGGTGGTCAAAGCTATAGCACACGCTATTAGGGGATAGAAATCCCATGTTCCCCAACATTACCGAGCATTCTGGACCGAGTAGCAGGTTCGCACCAAGGACTAAAGCCTGTATATATTGGTCTTGGGTTAGCAATCCAAAAGGTCCGGAGAAGGAGCCCACTGACTGTTGATGCAAATCCATTCCGTATATACTGGCAAGCCATGTCGATGGCCACCATGCCACTAGAGCACGCCGTGTCTACAAGGGCGCTTGGCCCTTGCAGATTGAAGAACCAGCTCACTCTGTTAGGAAGCATTGAAGGCGGTATGCCAGTCGCAGCCATACGTGGAGCCTGGTCAACATCTTTGGACGTGGATCGAGAGTAATCATCAGTGCTCATTGGTGCGAGGACCGCAGTCTGTGAGCCCTTCAGTCGATCAAGAGGAATACCCGCTGTTGGAGTCAGGTCTTCGCAAGTATGCATCAAAGACGGTTCAAAGACGGTATTCGGTTCCTACCATTCTCAAAGCTATGGAAAGCAGTCTCCAAAACAAGTCGCTGTGCCGGGTCCATTGCGGCTGCTTCCTTCGCGGTTATCGAGAAGAACGGAGCGTCGAATGCTGCCGGATCCGCCTCGATGAAATGACCGCCGCGGGAATAGAGCTGAGTTTCATTTAATATGGAGAAGTCCCATGATGGCAAGGATAACTTACCGTGTTTGGTCTTCTTCTGCCCTCATCCAGAAACCCATCTACGTTGAGACGGCTGCTAGGCCAGTCACTCATCACGTTTCTACCGCTTGATAGTAGATCCCACAAGCTGGATTCATCCTGAACGCCACCTGGTAGCTTGAACGAGAACCAAATCACTGCGAGGGGTTCCCCTTGGGTTTGTGCCATGGCGGCTGCGAATCGGGTACGAGTTCAAACTTAAACAGCAGGACTATGATTTGGTAAAGCTACCCGAAGCTGGAATGATACCCCGAGTGAAATTGGCATGCTCCAGGTAGTAGCAAGACTACAATATATCCATACCTTCTTCACGTAAGAAGTATGGCAGATACTTGCATATCTCATTTTGCGACTCCCACACCATTCTCACCGGAGAGAGATACGCATACACCCTGCCCGTGGGCAATGTTGGCTGTTGGTGATGCTGGGTTACAATGCGTGTAACCAGCCATGCGATGGAACAATACGTACCGTGATCACTTCACAAGGATCTACATGTTGATCTGGGACAGCAGGTATGACTTGATAGCGTAGCAATGAAGTAATAATGTGAACGTCGCGTTGTATGGAGTCACTCTTGAGTGTAATGTCAATGCTACAGTCCTTGACTAACGCTTGGGCTCATGTTCTGATGGAACCAAGAGGCTCTGCGTACTTTTTTTGACATCATACTGATTTGAAGGTACTGGATGAGAGCCCACATACCTCTAGGCCTGCCACATAGAAGTCGCGGCCAGGTTTTGCAGGAGGACGGTTTAGCACGATCTTAAACTATATTAAAGACGTAATATTTATAAGATGGATGTTGAATTTAATAAAATAACAATGGCTTATGAGAAAATCTTAATAATTTTACGTGGTTCAATGTTTTATTAATAACGATGAGTTACTCAAAACCTCTACTCAATATAATATAAAAGTGATATTAAAAGATGATTTAACATATAGTAGTTTAAAATATAGTAGTTTAAAATATAGTAGTTTTAAAATATTTTTTTAATCTTTTTATTATATTTTAATAAGAGTGTAATAATTATTAATAAGTTAATACCTAATTCAAATAAATGAGGTAAATAAATAAGTGTTTAATAAAACTTAATACAATAACTTATCAAATATAGTTATATATAGAAAAACTCCGTTAAGTCGACTATATTAAAAGGGTGTTAGAACAGGCTTGAACGATCAATCATAATACTCGAGTATAGTGTCAAGGTCATGATGTTGCTGATGGTTGGATTGAGAGGAATCTAGCTGGACTCGAAGGTCTGGCCAAGTGCCCTCTCAATCCACTATCTTATCTTATCTAATCATACATGTGGGTCCTGGTATAGATGGTTTGCAGTCTGGAATCGCATGGATCCAACAAATAAGATGTTTTAAGCCGATTTAAATAAATTAAATGATTAAAAGCTAAAAAAAAAATCTTTTAATAATGATGATTATTCTTCAACACTTAAAGTATTGATAAAGTTTTTATTAAAAAAGCTTTAATTAAATATCTTAGGTTCGTATAAATAAAGCCAAAAAGGGTTTAAAAAACGAACTTACTTAGAAAGCTTGTATCATATATTTTAATAATAATAGAAAATTCGATATAAATTAAATAAAATCTTTTTACACTATTAAAGCTATTATATTGAACTTGTTTACGCTTATTAATTAATATTAAAACGCTATTGTTAAGCAAAATATCAGTTTAGAAAAACATCGCGCTATAACAAAATTTACGTATATCTTTTTGATCTTTTAAAGTTACCTAATAACAAGTATAACAATTATAGTAATTAAACGAAATAATTAAAGTTTGAAATTGTAACATTTCAAAAACAAGATTAATTTATTTTCGCTGTTTGAGACAAATACAAATGTATTTATAGTTATTTCTATATACTTAAAACCCGCTATTACGTATATATTAACGCTTAAGTTTATAAAAAAATTAAGAAAAAAAGTAAGCAAATAATACTAATAATATTAAGCTATGAGAATATATATTATTACGTTATGTAACTAATCGATAAAAGAAGGGTTCTTAAAATTCTTCACGATATTATCTAAAAGATATAAATTGAACAACTTTAATCATTTTAATATACCTCGTATAAACTTTCCTTCTAGTAATATAATAACATTCTTATTACCGTTATAAAAAAACCAGACCTATATTCAAACCTGCAATAATAACGTCCTTCAAAATAATCATACTTTTTTAAAATTAAACACTTGAAAAAAACGTAAAACAAACGTAACCCATTTTATTTATAGAGCGCTATTAAATTACCTTAACCTCTCAAAAACCATTTAAAACGCCCTTCCCAAAAGTAAAAGTAACGATAAAATAACGATATAAAAACAAATAACTTTTGAAATTTTTATACTCGATTATAATATAACGATTTCAAAATTAAACGGTCTTTTTACGCGTAATATAGTTCGTATTAAAAGTTTATTAAACCACTCATAACTATTAGGTTCTTAAATAGCTTAATTTATATATTAAGCGTAAATTAACTTACGATACAAAACTCTTTTAAACTTAAAACAAAAGCTTAAAAAAGCGGTTTTTGATAGAATTCACTGATTTGTTTGAAAAGGAAACTTTGAATTATTTAAAAGTATTAACTCAATGAAAATCATTTAATCAATAATAAACAAATAATAAAAAGACTATTAAATGAGAAGCTCAATACGTTAAGAACGTAAATTTTATATATAAAGTTTACAACCGCTTGAGTAATAAATTAATATAAGGTAATAACTTTTACAAAAATGAAATCTTGATTCATAATATAAATTAACTTCATAATTGTCTTTTTTGATAAAACCCTTAACAATTAAATTTTATGCAATAATTATTATGATTAGAAAATATTTTAATGCTTACTTTAATAAAACATGTAAATATTAACGCAATTTTTTTTAAATCATCAAGCTGCTTAATTTTTAATATAGCTTTAAATAAGCAAATCATACGTAAAGTGTTGGAACAGGCTTGAACGATCAATCATAATACTCGAGTATTGGGTCAAGGTCATGATGTTGCTGATGGTTGGATTGGGAAGTCTAGCTGAACCTGAAGGTCTGGCTAAGTGACCTTGCAGCCCAGTATTTAATATTTTATCTAATCATATATGTGGGTCCTGGTATAGATGGTTTGGAGGTTGGAATCGTATGGATCCAACATAAAGGAATAAAACCCCTACGGTCTTTTAAAATACAACCTCTACCTTTCAAAATCTAATAAAGCAATGTATATTAATAAAACAAGTAATTAAAATTTAAACTAACGCTAAAGGTCTTCAAAATCTCGCTTTGGATGTTTAAAAAGAATTATAAATTATAAATGTAGAATTGATAATCAGTTTTTGAACGTAAAAATAATTTAATTTTTAAAAAAAATTATACGCTTCGATTAATAACAATATAAACAAAACGCACTTTAAAAAAACAATATAAGTAAATTGAAAGTAATTTTAACCCTAATAAACCCAATGTTTTAAAGGATTATAATTAAACGAAAAAATGAAGCTATAAGTAATAAAACGATTAAATATATGTTTTAAATAGATAAGTAAAACTACTTCATATATATTATACACCGTAATATTACTTCTACTAATTTTATTAAAGCACGATTTGTAATAAATCTTAACGAAAATGATAAAAAGTTATTAAAAAACATCGCAGTTTTTAAAAAGCATTAATAACTGTTTAGTACGGTATTGAACACTCAAGAAAAGCTACAATTAAAAAAAAAAAATTTAAAACTTTATAAAGAAATATGAATATTAACTTAAGTTACAGTCAAAACGATATAAAATTTATTATAAAATGTATACGATAGATAAATTATTATCCAAATTTTTAATATATTGAGCTATAATTCGTTTCTAGAAGATAAAACTACAAAAATTAAATTTATTAACTTTACAAAAGCTGTTGATAGTGCCGTTTCAATGAGAAGGTGTTTAATAAACAATAAAATAATATCAGAAAAACTTATTACGATCTTAAAAAGCAACTTCAACACAATTTTTTAAACTAAACTATTAACGCTTAATAAAATAAAACAATACATGAAAATAGTATAGAATTATATACCTTGAAAATGAAAGTTAATAATATCAAAAATTTATAAGTTTTAACCGACAAAAATCTCATAAATAAGATTATAAAACCGCTTAAACGAGCGAATTTTAAGAAGTATATTAAATTATTACAAATAAAGCCCTTAATTAACAGCATATTAACTAAAATTATAAAGCTTAATACTTATAATCAATGTTATAGAGGCATATAAGATATAAAGTGCCGTATAAGTGAACTAACGGCTGTAAAGTAATTATATTTAATTATAATAATTAATTCAAAAAAGATAAAACCATTTAAGAAATTACTTTTAAGTTTAAAAATAAGGCTTAAGTGACTAGCAAATAAATAAATGAATAACAACCATACTACCAAGTAAACAATCACGTAATTAATTTACCTCAATTTTAGTTTTTTATCAAACCTTGGGTTCTGTCAATCTACACAATTTGAATTTAATTATAATATTAAAGCCAACTAATAAGCTATATTAATAAACACGATTACGGTATAAAAACATTTATCTTTTTAACTTTAACGAATAAAAGTTAGAATCCTTCAATACTTAATAACGATTATAAGTAGAAATTGAAATAATTATATAATAGCTTCCATAATAAATAAACAATAATCACTTTGTAAGTTTAAAATTTAAGAGTAGCAATATAACTGGATAATAAGATGTAAAAATTTAAAAGATTAAAACCGGTATCGTTCTTTATAAAATAAACATGTTTAAAATAGTTATCTTTATTATAATAAAAGGTTACACCTGTCAGGCTTCCGTAAATATATTGTAAGGATACAGGGACCCTTATTAACTATTGACGTATAATGAACTCTAGTTGAAAGAAAAGAGAGATCTGTAAATGCACCCAAATTGGTGGGCAGCTAGATGTAGGCAGTCGTCCCCCACCTGACCCACCAGGGCATGAATCAACCTGTGGTCCAATCAGTCACGTGCTCAGTCACGTGACCCAGGGACCATGGAGACCATCACTAGACCTGATGGATGGTGAAACTGTGATGGTATAGTCACCCGTATGGTCACCCATACCACCAGATCTCCAAGCCAC